AAACCAAAGCTGCACTTGGGGCCAACGTCTGTCATCCCAGCACTCGGGAGGCTGAGGCAGGAGGATCGCCGCGAGTTGGAGATCAGCCCGCGCTACATGGTGAGTTCAAGGCCAGCCTGGACTCTGCAGCCAGACCCTGTCTCAACTAACCAAGAAAACAAATGACAAAAGAATGGAATCTGAGTCCGGAGCTGACACTTGAACCAAGAGAACCCTTTGCTATCAAGAGGCCTAGGAAGGTCCCGGACTGAAGGTGGTGTAAGAAGTCCGCTGTCAGCACCAGCTCCTCCCCACAGCGGTAGCCGTGTGGTAAAGGGACCGGCTCGAGGCCCCGCGCCTCGGGACCCCCAGCAGGCCTCCCGTCCTGGCCGGCTGGCGCAGGTGGGTGTGAAGCCAGGTGGGTTGCTAGGCCGGCACTTGGAGGTGGGCTCCCGGCAGGCCCCGTGTGCTCCTGGGGTGGTCAGGGGTGGCTCCTCTGCGCAGTCGTCTGCAGAGAGCCCCCGCAGGAGCCGTAGGGCCCATGGCCACAGCCTCGTTCTCCAGAGATGGAAGCGGGGGATCACATCCTCGCACCCCCCCCCCCAGGGCCATGACCGTGTGGCAAGCCCTGGCTCCATCTCTTCATCTGTAAACGCCACACCTGTCATCCTGGCACTCAGGAGGCTGAGGCAGGAGGATCACCATGAGTTCACGGCCAGCCTAGGCTGTATAGTAAGACCCTGTCTCAAAAAAACAAACAAAAAAAGCCCAAGTGCTTGGAGTAGAGCCTAGCAGGGAGCAAATGCTACTCAGCTGATGTCATTACTGTTGTTCTGAGTCCAGCCTCTCCCTCCAGTGTCAAAATCACCATCCCGCAGGCAGGCACGCACACCGCCTTCACAAGGGGAGGAAGCGCTTGCTCGGCAGGAAACTGCAGCACAGCAGTAAACCCCAGGTGCTTGTCCCCGACCTTGAGGTCTCCACGAAGGGAATCTGATGTCCCCGGTGAGTCCTCGTGTAACGGATGCAGGAGCTGTCTCCTCTGCTATTGTGCCCTCCATTCTGAGTCTCCAAAACTGTGGCGACCCTCCTGCCTCAGCCTCCCCAGTGCTGGGAACACACATGTGTGCCACCATGCCCAGTGCCCAGCCCCCATTTTCCAGGCAGATGATCCCAGGAGACAGAGTTTTACATCTACTTCTTTATTCCTTTTACAAAAGAACTTCGAACTTTTGTGGTTCCGGTAATAAGAGACTCTTTCACAACAGTTCTTTCGTCTTCTGTTTTTCTTTGGCAGAACTGGGGGTTGAACTCAGGCCCTTGCGCTTGTCAGGAAAGCGCTTATCCTACTGAGCCATCTCCCTAGCCCCACAGTTCTTTCTAAGTTACCTTCAAGTTATGCCTGTAATCCTAGTATTAGGGAGGCTGAGACAGGAGGAGGTCAAGGCCAGCCAGACCACATAGCAAGACTGTGTCTCAAAAAGGGTCGGGGGCGGGGGAGCTGTGGAGCTAGCTCAGCAGTCTAAGGACCTGCTTGGCAAGTGTAAGAGCTGCGTAGTGAGACCCTGTACCACATAAATAAAGATTTTTAAAAATTAAAAAAATATATGGGGTCGAGGAGATAGCTCAGTAGAATAAGCGCTTGCCCGGCAAGCGCAAGGGCCTGAGTTCAATCCCCGGTTCCACCAAAAATAAATAAATACATAATAAAAAATAGGAATCATAGGACCATGTGACTATTTATTTATTTATTTAGAGTTTGAGACAGGGTCTTGCTATATAATTCAGCCTGGCCTTGAACTGTTGGCAACCCTCCTGCCTCAGCCTCTCAAGTGCAGGATGATAGGTGTGCGCCACCACAGTTCCCTTAACCCGTATCTGCTGACACTGGCAGTACTCCCTGTATGGGCATCCAGAAATCAGCCCTGTGTCCCCACTTGCTCAAAACTGGGCTAGCTTCATGCCACATGCTTCTCGTACTCTTTTCCTGACCCACAGGAAGCATAAGCCTGCTGGCGGCCCGCAGCCCGCGTCCCGGCGGAGGTCACGCCCCCCGCGCTGCAGCATCCTCAAGGGTCGATGGCACCATATTTTCCAGTTCCTCAGCCCTGCCCGGTCAGGGAGTGAAGGGCGGCGGTGCAGAGCCAGCGTCTAAAAATAGCTGCGACCCAGTGGCTGTGAAGGAAGCCGCCGCTTGCCTTTCGCATTCAGGGTTGACGCAGACACGGGGACACCGCCTCACCCGGTTTGTCACTGTGGCTTTTCCTCAGTTATTTCAGCAGCGCTCGAGGAGTGCGTGGACAGAGGGGCTGCGACCTGCAGGATATGCCAGGGTTTGTCTAAAAATATTTTACACCTGTTCTGTGTTCTGCACACTGGTCATATTTTGTCAGTGAAGTAAGTGCTCACAGCACCAGGCGGAATGTGTTTCTCCTTCCAAGTTCTCAGTGTTTTTCCCTTCTGCGGTGCAAGCGTCCTCCTCCTCTTTTTTTTTTTTT